AAAACCATATTGATCGCAATGAAACAAGTTATTGTCTTCAAAATAACGGCTAATACGTTTGCTTAGCACTTTTTCAAACACTTTAGAGAACACTGGTAGGATGGAAATAGGACGATAATTTTGCACATTGTTTACGTCACCTTTTTTATGTACAGGTACTACTGCAGCGATTTTTAGTAAATCAGGGAATGCACCACTACTGAATGACGCATTAATTAATTTAACGAGCGGAAGTACATATAAGCTTACACTACTTTTAATGAGATTCACGCTGATACCAAACACATCCTTAGTGTTGCTATTTTTCAGAGAAGTTAAAACATCCCTTACTTCAACTGGAGACGTAGGTACTATTGTGAACTTGATGTTATTGGGTATTATAGAAAAACGGTTGTCTGGCCTTTATTATATATATACGTTTATTAAACGCTAATGTTGCACAATTTTGTCATGTGGGTAAAATAGTAAAATAATAACCGCTTGTCTGCCGCTGGTAAGTGTATTAGTACCAAGTTGAAATTGTGTTAAAACATGCGGAAACATCATTGGTTAACGAAACCAAATTGGCAGACGCGTTGGTTGGTAGCATTTTTGAGGTTTGTGGTATTAACAGTTTCACAAAAAAGTGAAACGGGTTTCTATCATTAAATGCGGCCAAGATTCATCGCAGTCTCAACCAAAATAGTACACACGGTACATACACAGCGTCAACTTTCCTATTTATGAAGATATTCACTACGCTTTAACCATAGATATTACTTGCTTGTGGTCGTAAACCCTATCGGAGGATACCAATATGTGCATGGAAAATGCGCTACAGTTACTTGCCTTAGGGAAAACATTTTTTCTTGTTTATCACCCCTTCAGGATAGAGTGTAACGTTACACAGAAATTTTTGGCCCAGAAGAGATATTGATGTACGTCATAAGTTCTTGTGTATATGTTAGCGCATTGCTTTATCTATCATATCTCAAAGCGGCAGAGGGGGAGGGGGCAAGTTAACGGACCCAGGGGTATGAATTCGATCGACGTCTGCCGGGTCACTTATGG